TCTGAATTGATAGAATTCAATTCATTCAAGCAGAGGAGCCTCTTGTCTCTCTCCTTCAATTTTTCCAATCATTTCATCCGCAACAAATGTCCAAGGTTATCTCTTTAAGTTTTCTTGAAACCATCCCAGAAAAATACATCATGATAGAAAAGAGCTCGTCCTATATCTGACTTATGTATTAGTTCTAATCGATTTTCTATATATCCCAGGAAAAAATAGTTGCAGTCCGTAGTTCAGTTAAATCGTTACTATAAAAATATATTCTTTTACAACTAATTACATATTTTGAAAGCCCGTGGAGTTTTCTATCTCCCTCTGTACGTATATTTTCATTTGCACTTATGTGTAACCAAAAAGGACTCAGTTCAATGGAGGTTTGGTATAAAAACGTGTAACGCACTCGCATTCATGTCCACATCCACATCCAAACCATCAACTGCTGCTGTTGCTAAACAATAAACACTATGATCTTTTCATGCTGCTACTGATGCCTTACCTGATACGTTCACAACGGAGCCAGGTAATTTACGTTCAATTAAATCACGTGCAATTTCCTATTAAAGTATTATAGTTAAATAAATATTTCATGAACAAGTAACGTTTGTCTTTGCGATACTACTATAAACTCCAATCTTAAAAGAAGGTGTGTAAGTGTGGGTGTGGATCTTGATATGCATACTGGTATTGATGGCTGTATGGTTCATCTTTTCACCTATTCAATCAATAACACCCACATTGAGATGCACCCAACCCCATCCTGAATTTTCTGGCTGGAAAAACCTGATTAGTCAAGAAGCAAACATGAAAAACATCTGATAAGATGATAGTACTGCACCAAGAAGTCATCAACGCTAATAGTTATCCTGAAATTACATGAATACATATGAACACAGAACTATACACGTGTAAGCAAACACACAAAATTATTTTATTTCGTATGATCATCGCTTCAGTCGATGGAATAATTGAAAAAGATAAACTTAGCGAATATCTGTCATAAACATGAGATCTTTGATTAGTACAAATAATCGATCGAACATTGACTTTAAATAATCTTTGAAATATAACTAAAAAAAACTATGAATTTTTATTTTTGTGTACATACACTATTGAAATCTTCTGATTTGACTTCTAGAAATGGATCAAAAATACAAATGACAGCATTATTTACTAATAATTTAATAGGAAGATATGGTTTAATGGCTTCTTTCGTTGCTTTTCAATCACTTAAATCAACACATACTGAACTAATATTGTTATTCTAATTAAAACAAAAAAAGTGACATTAAACAAAAAAACTGAATTAAAATCTAGTTTTTATTACTTGTGCAACAAGTTGTTTTCAAATTTTCATCAGATTTACTAACAGCAATCACTTTAGCACTAAATTGAAGCAAGTCGTAAAGTAAATGATTTATCAATAGTTTAATAATTATTTTCTTTCAATATATTAAAATAAATTAGTTTTTAAATAACAGATCTCGTCAAACATCTGTTGCACATACAGTTTTATTTCAAAAATCATTTTCAGTCATGTAGAAAAATTATCAACAAAAAATAGCAATGTATTAACTTTAATAAAAAAAAGAAATGATTGACACACAAATTTTCATAAAGAAATTTAAGTACGAAAAAAATAAAAGAACCTTGTCATGACATTTATCGACATATTGCACTATGAAGTGGAATTGCTGATAGACCTGCAAATGTAATTCCAAATGAATCATCAATAGATGCGCCACCCATTGAAAATTCACGATCAGGTTCAGGAATCTAAAACAAAAATACAAGAACAGGAACAACTCTACTAAAATTAAATCTTGTTTAGACTTCAATTATACTTCAATCGATATCTTGTAAAATGTATTGACATAAGCTCCACCACCAATTAAATCTTCAAATATGACTAAACCGAAAACTAACTATATATTCGGTATATAAGCCGTGCGACAGACACAAGCAAAAATATACCCATATTAATAAGCTAAGTAAATATATATGTATAGAATACAGAAACAAATATGTAAATACACTAACTTGAATAATTGGTAAAATCCAAAGATGATGAATTCTACGGATGAACGTGACTAGAAAACACCCAATTGATGATAGCAAACTGAGTGGTGACCGGACAATTCGTAGCATGAAAAATTCGTTGCAATGAAATAAGCCAATCAAAATTAGTATCTATTTTTCAACAATGAAACAACTTATTCAATTAAGTTTGACACATGTAATTCAATGACCATAAAAATTATTCGAAATATTACTAATGACTAAACTTCGATTTTTGTTTTCGGGATGTCCACATAAACGATTCTGGTAAGACAAAAAATCGGATTCGTTTCCTATTCCATAATTAATGTCAATAGGATGTAAAAAAAACCTTCGATTACGAGGTATCATCAAAACTATTCCTGATATTGTATAAATCAACGACTCAATCCGACTAGTTTCGTTTTAAATATACAAAATAACAGGTGATGCTCCCTAACATAACAGAATTTGTACGCCAAACACGAAGATTTAAAAATAGAAATTCATTACAAGTTTTTTTTAATGATGTCAATGCTGCTCTTCTTCAGTGAAAGTTAAATTTTGTTAGTCTTTTCAAGGTATTTTCGCATTGTCAGAAATCTTGAGCTGCAGCATAAATGAAAAAAGTGTGCATTACTACTTCCGCTGGTATAGGAAAACATTCATCATTTGTATAGCTCGAATAAACTAACTTTTTATCGGCACAAGAAGGCTATTGTACTGTTCGAGATCAAAAACTCAAATTTAGCCATTAGTAATATTTCTAATAATTTTTATGGTCATTGAATTACATGTGTCAAACTTAATTGAATAAGTTATTTCATTGTTGAAAAATAGATGCTAATTTTGATTGACTTATTTCATTGCAACGAATTGTCCTAGCATCAACTGAGTACCTGAAAATAAAGGATTCGTATGATACAAGTAGCACATTTATCATTTAGGATGTGGGTATTGGTGAGAACGAACCGTCTATCCTACCCACAGGTTGCACTTCCGCACATTCTGAAACTATTTATATGAATTTAGTTCAAGAGAGGTACGGGTGTGAGTGTTGGTCTTCTCTTAGCTATGACACCCACACCTACACCCTTTGTTTCTTGTTATTAAAAACCAAAATTGTTTTCATAAATAATAATAAATGTAGTCTTCTTATTTAAGAATTATAAGAAAATAAGTTTCTTGTTTGATTCTATTTAATCATTATTCTTAACGAAGAATTTCAAATGATATCTTTCTATGTGTTTACCAGGAAACTATTCGAACTGATGCTCGCCATTTGAGCTAATAGAAGAAAGCTTTGGTAAGACTAGAAAAGACTAAAAGAGTTCATCTCCATGATCCTTTTGAGTCGGATTATGACCGTTGTATTAAATTTTTGACCCAATCTTAGGTACCTACTAGAAAACGGAAATAACGGTATTTCCGTTTGAAATTTTGCGAATAAATAGGTCAAAGAACTAGTAGAATATGCTGAAAGTTTCAGACGAAAAAAAATGTTCCTTTGTTGAAATATTAAATTTTCAAGTAAACTTAATTTGTACGGCATATCTGTAGCAGACAACCATTTTTTAGAAATTCAATATCTCGACAAAGAAACACTCTTTTTGCCTGAAACTTTCAGTATATTCTATGAGTCATTGAATTTATCTATGGACAAAAATTCAGTAAAACAGCAATAACTCAGCTTCAAAGGTCGATGGAGACCAAGAAGGAAAAAGCAGATTTGGGCACCTAAAGTCTTTGGAAATCTTTAAGAATCCTTTGGAACCACAAAATGAGGTATATTCCAACAGCAATACAGTAGTGCATTATCAGGATTGAGGGTGTGGGGGTGGGGGTGGGGGTGGGTGGGTGCATGTGGATGTGATTGTTTTGTTCAGTAACCCACACTACACTCACACCACACCCACACTCACACCACACCCACACTCACACCCCACACCCACACCCTCAATGATAACATGGCATAATTAATGTGTACGTCAATTAAGCTTTATCCATACACATACATTGAGATATTTGTGATTGAATATATCTCAATGTATGTGTGTGTTTCGATTGAAGCTTAATTAAAATTGACTTCTAATTATTTTTCGACGAAGGAAAAACAATGAATATTTTCTCCCTCAAGAAAAAAAACGATTTTTAGGGGTATAAAAATGAATGATTTTCTATGTAATATCATTAAATTTATTGAATCAAATAATAATCGTTTCTTTTTATATTTTAGTTTGGTTTCGACGATACAAAATTAAACAAATCAACACCAAGCAATACAAGAAAAAAAAAATGTAGGTATCAGTTTTTATTATTTTTTTTCTTTTTTTTTATGTAACGATCATAAGGATGGTTTGGTAAGGCCTCCTTTGATCTTTTTATGTATTGTTTTTTTTTATTTCAGGTAATGGAAAATCAATGGAAGCGATTACAGTAGAGTAAGTTATTTTTTTCTTTTCTGTACATATATGATAAAATAATTTTTTTTGTTTTCCTTTTAGTCTATCATCGCGTCCGGTCATCAACAACAACGTGATTGTTCAACACCAAAGTACGTGAGTGTAACAATTTTTTTTCTTTTTTCTTTGAGTTGAGATTGAGAGAGGTTAGAGTGAGTCTTAGAATAGTGAGTGTTAGTGGAGGGAGGATGAGTTGTGTCCAGTGAGGTTAGTCTCCTGCTATCTATCAGATCTTCCGGGTAGGTCCTAAAAACCCGACCAGGAACAATCTTGTTGTCCGTGGCACACGACCAGGCTTAATCAGACTCATTGACATATCTCTCGCGGGGAGGGTATGAATGATAAGAGTCTGTCCTGTGCGTGCATGAGCATTACGCTCGCCATGGCTCCACCAGGATGATTCCTGGTCGCGCGCATGTGAATAGAATAGATATTCATTTCATCAATTCAAAGCGATTTATTTGAGAGAAAGGAAAGAAAACAAAATAATCCATCGTAATGAGTCTATTCGATTGAAAATCGTTGAACACGATTATTCCCATGATCGACAACGTAGAGATTGCCATGACGATCGAAGGACAAATCCTGAAGTTCGTAGAACTGATTTGCTCCTGCTCCGTAACCATTTCCACCTACAATAACAGCGCCCTGTTTCGCTTCTTTAGGCCAGCGCATCACTCGAAAATTCCCCGAGTCTGCCACATAGATGGTACCCAATGTATCGACGAACAGTCCGTTAGGAAACGACAATTGTGTCAGAGCATTTCCTTGTCCTTGACTTCCAGCGACAACAATTCCTTCTTTTGCATCTTTATTCCATTTCATTACACGATGATTTCCGTGCTCTGACACGTAGACAGTCTGCTGTTGATCGACAAAGATATATCTCGCCTTATTGAGTTGATTGAGACCATCACCTTGACCATTACCACCAGCCACGATAGTTCCATTCTTGTCTCCTATTTGATATCGTCTTACTTCAGATTTAAAGTAGTCAGAGATGTATAGATATCTCTGATCATCCATGGCCAATCCCCAACAAACGATGTTGTCGAGGAGGATTTCTCCTTGAGTTGTACCACTACGACGAGACCATCGTACGACTCGTCGATTCAACAAATCACAAATAATGAGACTACCCGTCTCTTTGTCGACCAACACATCGCTTGGCCAATCCAATTGATCCAATCGATTTCCTGGGTCATTGCCACCAGCTACTACTTGTCCATTCGTATCACCCATCTTCCATTGGATGATACGATCATTGTAGAAGTCAGCGATGACCAGCGTTTGATCATCATCAACGAAGAGACCTCGAGGCCCGTTGAGTTGATTGGTGGCATTGCCGAGTCCATGACCTCCAGCAACGGTCACTCCACTCTGATTCCATCGGGCATTGGCTGGAATATTAGGAATCAATACAATGAACAAAAAAGAAAAGGAATCGTCATTGTCGAAGAGATTCCCCCTCTCTCACATGGGAAAGAGCTATAAAGGAGACATACGTCTTCTTGGAAGAGAATTAAGTAAAGCTTTCGAGAATATTCTTTTCGGAGAGAAAAATTCAGAAGTCTTTTCCTAGTTTCCTATGAAAAAAAGGATTTCGTAACGATTCTTACATCTATGTCACTTTTAGTTTTTGCCAAGATCTTTTTGACCCGAAAAACTACACCATGAGATTGCTGTAAGGAGGTTTTTTCGAGAAAAAACATTACTAATTCCATGCAAGCCGTCGATAGAAAAATATGGAGATCTGGAGATGTTATTCAAAATTGCGAAAATTCAGAGTCTTATGGAATAAAATAATGAACTATGTGAAAATCTTAAACTAAAAAAATCCTGAGAAGATTCAAGTACATCTTTGGAATGTGATACTTTCTACAATTGAATTTTATATGTTATTTAGAAATCGTAGTTCTGAAGTGGATAGTTAGAGAAAGTTCTACAAAAGCTTCAAATCATTGCATTAGAATCTTAGAAGGGAAGGTTCTCAGATGTTAGCCTCAGTTGTTGGATTGAATACATGAGTGAAGAGCACGTCAATTGTACCGTTGGGTTTCGAAAAGAAAGATTCCAATAAGTCGAATTGTATTCAATGGATTTTGATAACTTTCTTTTTGTTTTATTGGTCTAGAAATGACCATTCACTTCTGAAGAAATTAAGTTTCCATGTCTTTTAGCTTACGACAAAATCATAGCAGAGCTGGGCAACTCAACTCAAAATGGTGGTCAATTCAATTCAATTCTATTACTGAATTGAATAGAATTGAATTGAATTGAACTCAATTCAGTATTTCGTTTGCTTCACGTCTGACTTTAACTAGAGTTATCTACTGTAGAACGATTTGAAGTATTTATTCAACAATATTAGGAGACTACAAGAGAAGGTCATAATTGAATCAAACAATAATGAACGAAAGATGAATACAGTATAAGAGGTATGTACTTCCAATAGATAAAATACCACTCAACAAACAAATGATTTGCATGATATTGCCCTATAAGACAAGGACAAATGGACATTGTATCTGTCACTTGAAAGAATAGAAAAACATATCGATACGTTGAGAGTTTAGGTGCTTAAATTATACGTAATCATCAAAAAAGAAAAGAAAATAGTGATAAGTTTACGCAAGCGCATCAAAAAATATACATCGAAATGCTAGTATAATGCAGCTATGTTGAAATAGAAGCTCAGAAGAAAAATTACAAAAATAGATCATAGTCATACCTTGATCTTTCATTAGTTATAATGAGTAAATTGATCATACAACAACAGTTTCAGAAATATCTTTGAGTTGAATTTAATTCGTAAATCTTGAAAAAATGCTTCAATTCTACTCGATTCAATTCAGTGATCCCAGAAGTTTTTTTCAACTCAACTCAATTCAATTCACTCATCTCCAGAAAAGATATTCAATTCAACCCAATTCGATTCAGTGATCTCCGAATATCATTTTCTAACTGAATCCAATTCAATTCCTTGATAAAGATTTTTCCCCGACTCGATTCAATTCAATTGAGCAGTCATCCTATTCCGCAATGTTGAACAATACGGAACCAGTTCCGACCCCGGAATCGTTTCCCCCTATTTCGGAACCGAATACAAACTGAGTCCGCAACAATTCCTAGGAATTCCGTTTAATTCCAGAACTCCCCTATTACACACCACCGGAATCGGTAGGAATTGGTAGGAATTCCGTCCAGTCCCATCTAATTCCGTAATTACAGCTTGTGTTTTCATTCTATCAATCTTTATCGATGTAATAACCATCCGATTCTGCTTAGGAATTCCGGATTTGAGTCGATCCGGAATCGGTGGGAATTCCGTCCAGTTCCGTCCAATTCCGGAATTACAACTTATGTTTTTATTCTA